GACGTACAACAGGCTAATTCACACTTTGATAACTGTTCTTCTGATTGATCATCAACGAACGAAGAAGGTGCATCCTCCTGCAACTCATCATCGACAACACTAAGTGATGTATCTTCATCTGGAATTTTTTCACTATTTACATCGTTAATCGGCGTTGATAAATCAGCAATTGATTTAGTATCTTCTGTTGACTCTGTTTGTCTCCTCTTTTTCACCGTGAAAAATGGATGGATGGTTGGACGTTTGCCAGCCATTAGATAGATTGTTAAGCAATTATTGATGAATCAGATCAATAAATTACGGAACTACTCTTTTATTGTCGAAATGGTGGCTATATATATACCTCTACAAACGACCAAGAAAAAAACCAAACACACTGGGAAGAAAACATAAAAAAAGAGGGAAAATTCCTGAACAACATCAGGAGAAGAGGAATATCCAAGTAAAGGAAACGAAAGAAAAAAAAAGATATATAAGATATATGTATGTCGTACGTGTCATCTGTACAATAACAGAATAGAGGAAAGAAAGAAACATCAGAGAGAAGTGAATTAGACTATAACATAGATATGTGTGAGAATATGTATCTGAAAGTGTCAGGTGCTTAATATCACAAATCCTGCGAACAAAACCTAACAATATTCATTCCGAAATCATGTGAAGCTGAGCCTCTAGAGCTAAAACCCAGGTGAGGCTCAAGCCTCACGGGTCTCATAGACTTCCCAGCCACTGCACTTGATCCATAGCTATTCCACAAGAAAGCACAGAAATCGAATCGATTTTCCTCGATTCACTCACGTGCTCTTCAGACGAAAAATCTATTTCCTATGTTAAACAATACAGTCCCAAAACACACCATAGTCGAAAAAGAGCCTTTGGAGCAGATCGACGTATTATTAACAAGAGCGGTCACATGATGATTAAAAATTCATATGCAAGCCTCGGTAAAAGCAAAATGTATGGCTATTCATCTATTCAAATATTCGAGCACCAAATAACGCACGTACGATTTACAACCATACGATGAATCACGTTACATTCGAATAAATGCTTATGAATCCATTCCAATCTATGATTGCTACTCGCTCCACTTTTTCTGTTTCCACA